ATAATGTATATTTGTAAGTTATATCATATATCGATAAATCTACACTAATATCAATCATGTATATGGTATGAATACTTTATTTTAAGTAATTAGTGAATAATATTTATTTATAAAATTAATTTTATTCTATATATTTATTAATCAAGATCAGTGATATGATACTTAACTTAATCTTAAAATAATATAAACAACTTATATATTTTAAATATTTGAATACAACACTTTTTTTTGTATACCTGTATACAATCTATTAATCTATATTTAGAATAATCTGCATACATATTAAAATGTATATTTATATAAATGTATATAAAAATGTATAATTTACTTATAGAAATTTATATTTAAAAAAATATATATCAATTATATTTTTACTACACGCTTATTACTAATAATAATAATAATAATAGTATTATAATAATATCAATAATTCATATTATCATACATAGTGAGGTATAATACAAATAAATTAACCAAATTTTGGCAACAAATGTATAATAATTAAGAAATTAATTCAAATAATCAGTTCAGAGGAGAAGGGAATGGGTTTTTGGAAAGGAAAGAGTGGTTTAGAGAAGAAATTGATTGTTTCCGTCATTGTCTTCGCGTTGATATCCATCGGACTATTGGTGGCGACCATTGTATTAGCCGTCAAATACAACCGTAAATTTATGGTCATATCTTACAAAAAAATATTTACACAAAAAAAACTTATTTTATTGTAGAGTCGGACGACGAACCGGATGTCTGCGAATCAGCCCAATGTTTAATAGCAGGTAATAATGATATCATAAATAATATCTGTTACGAGAATGTGAACCCAGACCTATGAGTTACCGAACATTTGGTACTTTTTGTAAGATTTATATCATAAATTTGTATACAATTAATCTTACAACAAATACTAAATGCTCGGTAATCCATTAATATGAGTTCATATTCTCATAATATATATCATATGATCGTCTACGTGCATAAAAGGGTTATCTAATTTTCAATTCAAACTGTATACATAACATAATCATTGCATTTATAGTATCTAATATTGTTTATTACTTTGAGAAATGCAATGATCATGTTATATATACAGTTTGAATTCAAAAATAGATAACCCTTTTAAGCACCCAGTGGATAAAATTTTACATTATTTATATCTGGACTCACTTTCTATGATAGCCTCCAATCTCCAGAGTTCTCTCAACTTATCTGCCGATCCGTGCGAAGACTTTTATGAGTACGCCTGTGGCGGTTGGATCCGCGACAATATTATCTCACCCGACAGGTCCCGATGGTCTCAGTTTGATGTGACCAGAAAGAGACTCGTAGATAATCTTAGAGGTAATTAGGATTATAAGTGTAATTAAAAGTGTTTTATATATAATTAATTAATATATTATTATTATTATAGTACTTCTCGATGCAGAATATGATGATAAATATCCGACAATTATATCGGACGCCACGAAATACTATAAGCAATGCACGGATTTAGGTAAAGGCATAACAATATCAAAAACACAAGTACTTTTACATTTATGTCAATCATTTAAAACAAATTCTTTATAACAGAACAGTATAAATAAAGTATAAAAATTAATTTATTAATTATGAATTGTAAATTAAAAATAATATTTAAAAAATTTTAAAACTAGATAAACGAGATGAGGGTTCAGACGAATTGAAGAAATTAGTAATTGATTGGCCGCTGATTAACAACAATCAAGCGATTCCTAACTTTTTGTGGTGGCAAGAAGTGGCCAAGCTTAATAGACAGCATGGATTCAGTTTTATTTTATCCAATTATGTCTATTTGGACGCCAAAAACACCGCCATTTACTCAATTTATGTATGACTTTTTCAAACTAGCATATTCTATTAGTAGAAATCAAAGGTAGATATATGGAATACTGAAACTTGGTACTTTTTGTAAGATTTATTGTATACAATTATATGTTTAAAATCTTACAAAAAGTACCAAATTTTCGGTATTCTATAAGTTTACATTTGATTTCTAATAACAGATATTATATGCTAGTATATTTGCTTAATTCAGTATATTATTGACTTGAATGGACAGGTAGACGCACCGTCATTGGGTGTGGGTCGGGCACAACTGGTCAACCCCGACACCGAGAAAAATAAGCCTATTATCGAGGCGTATAAAGTATTCATCAAAAAGTCGGCCCAATTGTTGGGCACAATTAATGAGCCGACTATTGAGGCGGACATTAAAAATATTGTCGACTTTGAGGCAGAAATGGCCAAAATTACGGCCGAAGCGTCCGCCCGTCCAAACCGCACCGAACTATACGGCGATAAAATAGATTTGCAAACATTTGAGACCACATATAGTATACCACTTTTGAAAATTGAGCAGGATGTCTTTGAGGACTATGAGACTATTGATGGGAGCACAGGTCTTATTGTTTATGACCGAGATTATTTTAGACAATTGGCTGATTTATTGACCACAACCAACGCCAGAGATGTCAAGTATTTATGATTCTTAAGTTTTAATTTAATATGTATAATAAGTTGCAAGATTAGCTTTGAAACATTTACCTGGTTAGTAATGCATTGACAATATATTGGATTTACAGTCTCAATGCATTACTAACCCTGGTGAAAGTTTCAAAACTACTCAAGCAATTTATTATACATATAAAGTTTTGTATAATTAATTATATAATCAATTCTTATATATTTTTGTAGAATAATACAGAATTACCTGAAGTGGCGAACTGTACGCTCATTAGGCACCCACACGTCAAAGGCTTTCCGGGACATAGAGTTTGAGTTCAACAAAGCGGTGACAGGAGTGGAGGAGCCGAAGGCTCTTTGGGAGGATTGTGTAGATCTGGTCAACAATAGGCTCCCATTCGCTGTCGGAAGGGTTTACGTGGACAACAACTTCCCCGAAGAGGCCAAACAGGATATGGATGTACTGATCAATGAGCTCAACAAAGCCTTCACTGAATTACTCGATGACAACGAGTGGATGGAAAAGGAGACGAAAGATAAGGCCAGAGAAAAGGTACAGAAATTTCAAATTCTTATGTAAATTAATTATAATTTTTGAAATAATTCATAAAATAATTTATTAAATAAAAAACATATGAAAAGCAAAATTTTGAAACGTTCTATGTGGTTGTGCAAGCAAACTGTAAACTGAAGCATTTTATAAGTAAAATACTTCAGTTTACAATTTGTTTGTACAATTACGTAGAACGTTTCAGAATATTGTTTCTCATATAATGTATTTCATTGCATTTCAGTTGGAAGCCATGTTGAGAGCCATCGCTTATCCGGATTTTATTAAAATAGATACCGAATTGACTGACTATTATAACGGGGTAAATATTAATTTAACCATCGTTAATTTTAATTATAGAATACTGTAGTAGTAACATATTAAATGAGCATGCTATTTGTTAAACAGTTAGCCCTGAACTTTGACAACTCGTTCCTTAAAACCATTGAAGTCAACAACTTGTGGTCCACTAAGAAGTCGCTAACTATGTTGAAAAAAGACAACAAGGACAGATCAACGCTTGAGTAAATCAAAATGTGTATTAAAAGTAACTAAAATAATGAGTACTTCATTAAACAGATGGTCGACGGGTCCGGCGATTGTCAACGCTTTCTTCAGCCCTAACATCAATCGCATCAGTAATTGATGAGTGAAATAGAAATTAAATAATTAATTAAATTATGACTTCAATTGATAGCATTCCCGGCGGGAATACTTCAGTCACCATTCTATACGTACAAACTACCGATGTGAGCATGGTCATTCTCTCTCTCCATAAATTATAATAAATATATTTTTATTACAGGGCATTAAATTTAGGAGGAATCGGAATGGTATGTCATGTCACAATAAAGTCATAATAAAATGCTATATATGAATAAAATAATTGTTTAGGTTATCGGGCATGAGATCACCCATTCATTTGACGATTCAGGTATTTTTATTTGTAACAAATTTATATTTTAATATATTTTGTAGTAGATTTAAAATTTAGCTTACTATTTTAAATCTACTAAATAATATATTTAAAATAGTAAGCTAAATTATAATTCTTATATCATATAATATATCTACAGGTGCTCAATATGATAAGCTTGGCAATCTATACAACTGGTGGGACGAAGTTACTCAACAGAAATTCACTGAAAAAGTCCAATGTTTTATCGACCAATACAGTAGTTATAACGACTCCAACGTGGGAATGAATGTTAGCTATTATTATACATTATTTCCAGATATGTATTAATTTTAATATTTTTAAGATCAATGGAAAGACAACTATTGGCGAGAATATCGCAGATAATGGAGGCTTAAGACAAGCATTTAAAGTAATCACACATATATATAATCTTGCAAAATAATATTAATCCTGTCTATTCCCGTGACATACCTGTCCCATAAGGCACTAGAGAACTATAGCGGGAGTAAGCAGTTATTGCCGGGAAGTATGAGTAACTTCACGAGTGAACAGCTATTCTTCCTATCGTTTGCAAACGTGAGACACCATTGTATTTATAGCCATAAATTTTGGACTTAATTTGCATACCGTTCTCCATAGGTGTGGTGTACAAACATTAGGGATGAGGCTTTACGAGACCAGATCGAGACCGACCCCCACAGTCCCGGCAAATACCGGGTTTGGGGCTCTGTTTCCAACTCCGAGTCATTCGCCAAGGCATTCAATTGTAAGCCAAAGACTAATATGAATCCCGAGTCCAAAGACAAGTGTATTCTCTGGTAACACAACCTTATTGTCCAATACTTAATAGACATGATTTTAATTGTTAAATGTCCTGGTATATTAATGTATTTTATATATAATTTAAGCATATAACTCAGAGTGAGTGCTCAGATAATTTAGTAATTTATATTTATTTAATAGTTTTAAAGAATCGTATTAATGAATAAGTTAAAAATTGTTTTAACATAATTACGAGAATTATACCGATATTTTAACAGAATGGATAATAAAAATATATAATTATGTTTCATAAAGTTAATTGAATATAAATATTAAATCAAATGTAAAAATATTATTGTGAAAACAAACCAATAAACATGCACTAATCATTATTTTACATTTATTTAATAGAAATACTTTTAACATTACATAATCTTTATATAATAATTGGTTATAAATTAAATTTCTAATAAAATAAGTTTGTTGAAAACATAAGTTTCAAAATGGTTTAACTACTATAATATTAAAATACAAAATAAATACCGTATTGCCGCGCAACCACCGGCATGCCGGTGTAAAGTGAGGTTAGCATAATTTACCGAGACACGTTTTCCGGTCACTTCCGGTGACCACATCCGGTAAGTGTGGGGTATGTCCGATAGAGGAAGAATAGATCTTTC